CATCGTCTAGAATAGAGACCTTGAAGCAACTTCTAACCCGGACAAGGGCCATTATGACCAAAAACCTGAAGAGTCAGTCGCCGCACCATTCACTGAACTCGCACTGAGACGCCTACTTTTGGCATACGCAAAGATAGCATAATTTGTTTCAATTGCTCTGGTCCCAGCCACTTTGCTAAGGAAACCTGGAGGAGACTGATAACTGGGTGCGCAGATAGCACCGTGAAGTGCGTTGCTTTCTTTGTAACAAGGTTGGACAGATCTTATCCGAGTATAGAGTATATCTATGCCGCCTTTGGCAACGCCGGGAGATGAAGGTGTTAACAGCCAATAGGAAATCGCTAAAGTGCCATGTCAAATTGGATATTGGTCGTGTTCGACCCATGAACATTGAAGTCCTGGTCATTGATGGAACATTGCTAGGCTTTTGGGGATCGATGCGATCCAGGATTTTTGGGGAATGTGTATCACTAAATCGGGAGATGTCCGCTTCCCCGAGGAAGATATACTCCAGTGCGCCGCCATTTCCATTAACGAACCTGATTTTAGTGTACAATTCGACCACCAGAAGAAGGTTTGGATTGCCTCATGGAAATGTAATAAGAACCAGAAGTACCTTGACAAAGCCTTTAATAAACAGAGTATTCCACGACAGGGCTACGAGCAAATATGAAATATAATACAAATAAAATGTATATATTGTAGAGCAAAAGGTTGGATGATTCCGGAAGAGTTCAAATCGAGGGACGTTAATGCTTATGGTATTCTTTTCCTCTATTTTATTTTTAAATAATTGTTTTTAATGTTCTTCGATTCCTCACTGAATCTTCGGGAATCAGAATAGAATGTTAATCCTCAAAGTCTGAGGGTACCGGCAAATGACAAAGACGATCGTGGAACATATAACTTTTCTTTGTGTAGGATAACGACACAATGTAACCAGAGTACATAAAATAGATCCTGTTGGTGGGGACTGGCGCGTGAGTGAGTGATAGGTGGACGCCAGTTCTTTGGCCACTGGAGTGGCATTGGAAGTGAACGAAGGCATTGTTCAGGATGCTTGTTGGTTGCGTCCAGAAGAAGATGCTAAGCAAATTAATTTAGTAGAATTCGACGCAATAATAAAAAAAGCACCAGTCTGTCCCTCCAATGGCATATGACGGTCTTGCACCTGGTTACCGACTCTGCGTGCGTTCATCGCTGGTTATCAAACACCCTGACCGAGAAGCCAGACGTTGATAAGACAACGGTTGGAAACTTGTAGACGAGTATGCATTGATAATAGATGTAAAGCTGATCAAAGCGAGCAAATCGCATTACCAGAGTGCCCCAGATGTGGTTGGAGCTGCACAAGGAAGGAGCTTGATAAGGTGGTCAGAGCTTGTCAAAGCTATTCATAGCCGGTCATACCACCGGTATGGAACAGATGTTGCCCAAAGTAGGATGGGACAATGCAAGGGAGGAGATAAAGCCTCTGGAACGAAACAGATACTACAACTGCAGCATTCAGCCCGACTGGAAAAATCCCCTTCTCCTCTTATACCAATCCTTCAGGAAAAATCAGCAAGGAGAGCACGAGATTTATCTTGACTCGCCACTGAGCCACAGGTTGTGACACGAGGATGAATTTAACGCCAGTGTAAGTTGGTCATAGACTTATTGCTAGTTGAGTTAATAACTTTGCTGTGTTAATTTTATAACACACCACGTTTCGGTGTAGTTTTTGGCTCATCGTCATTTTTGTATTTTTGCCATTTCTGGCTTGTTCAATTTCTTATCTCGCCAATTCTTACTTGGCGGTTAAACACACTGTTTGTATATTTCTGCGCGTGTCAGTTTTCAACACTTTTACCCATGCGCACCAAACATTTTCTACGACGTCAACCTTCTATTTTGACGCTTACCATTTCTGACATGTCCGATTGATTTCCCTTCAATTCTGGCCTAAGTCAACGTCAATCAACATGCAGACATCTTGAATTCATTTCCATGGATTTTATTCACCGCCCACAACTCAAGGATATTAAGTGATTTCTTTCGTACTGTATCAATGAACTTTGATTTTCTTTCTTCGGCGACTCACATTTTCTCCAGCCTACATGAAATAGATTTACCCTACCTCTTAAAAGACTAATTCTTAAGTCTTTGGTACTGATATTAACGTCCATGAGTTTTTGCTACGAACTCTTTTTCTCCTTTGTTCAGAACTATCCATGCTTCGTCCTTTCATCGACGTTACTCAGCCATTAAAGTCTACGAGATATTTTCAACTGCTACGCAACTTCTTTCTCCTGGGATAACACCAAAACTCGAACTTTCCTCAACGTTACTTCGGCACTAAAGTTACTGAGTTTCTTTCACACAAACTCAATCTTTCTTCGAGGACCCAACATCAAATACATGAACACTTCCGTAGGACCTTTTTGCATGTGTTTGTTTACACTCCTTTTTATTACAAATCAAATACTACTGCCTGGTTGTTTTGTACTCAGATTGTTGACAACTTACTATCTTTTGAACAATTTTGTTTGCGGACCCTTTTTCACCAACACGCAGCCAACCACACACTTCAACAAGTGGTGATCATACACACACACCCGCAACATTACGTCCACTTGGTATTTCACCTGAGCCCTTCACTTCGGTTGTCGTTTTGACAAACTCGATTTTTATACTGCAGAGGCGAACAGGCAGGGCTTACTTTTATTCTGATCACTTTTACATCGTGTACATGCGGAAGAATGGGGATATGCTTCCCTACACTATCAGCGGCATCGGTGGACAAACGTTAGACCCTTGATTTTCATATAATAACTCACATGACCAACAAGATGCCTCAGCGCAAAAATTTAAGATTTGGCAGTTGAAGAACAGCAAACGAATGAGACGGGTATCAACTCTTGTTTTACATCTCTCCAGAAGACCGAATAATGCAGTAACCCAAAAGAAAACTGTTGATTGAACCAGTTTTATCCTCTCCATGAATTACAGATATTATGACTGTTAACATCCGCTTGACGTGTTCGTTAACATTCATCCACAACAAATAGTAAACGAATATTTAGAACAGGTCATGCAAAGCAGAGTTAAAAACAAAGACAAGTAAAATACACAAAAATACGGTAATTTATATACAATTTATTTAAATATATACAAATGAGTTATGAATTGGTGATTTGTTGTATATTGATGTAATAAGACATGTAGTTTGTTGTTGAGTATGTTTGAATGCTTAAATCAGTGTTTTGATGATTTGTTGTAAGAATGAAACAGTTTGCTGTTCAACGTACAAAAGTGTTCGATTTTACAGTTCAAATGTTAGTGTGTGTAAACGAGTGTTACGTAAAATATTCTTAAGTTGTACGAAGTTGCGTACCTTGAACTGTTAATTGTTGAAAGTTTTGTTTGTTACTGTTACTAATATGTAGTGAATATATATTTCACTTTCGGCAAAGTAAAATGAATTTTTGAGAAGTTTGTTTAAAAGAGAGATTGAGTATGCCAAAAGGTTGTTGAGTCAGAGGTTAATTCGCGCGGGAAAGTCAAAGTTTAAACTGGCATGGAAACTGGTTGGCATCTGTCTGAGTGTGGAATTGACTGCTAAGTTGGTTCGAATTTCTTTTTATAGGTTCTGAAAGGAAAATAGGCTCAAACACATTTGAGCGCCAAAGCATTTTTCAAGTGCATAATTAGTATTTTAAGGCTGTTAGCCAATGAGAAATTGAGTTTGTCAGAACTAGTGTTTTGATTGGATAACAGGTGTGTGGGTGTAAGAATTGGATTGTTTTGCAAAGGGGTGAAAAGGTAACGTGGTTTATTCCACAAAGTCATATATGGATTATCTTGGCATGATTGAAATTGATGTGTTATATGCGGCATCCACTGCATGTAAACAGAAACAAGTTCCTTCTTTTTTATCTTTTCTTTTTCTATTTTCACGTTCATGTTATTAAACTGTTAAATTGACTCCACGTGTTCACTATCGTTTTTTTTCACCGGTTATTGTATTTTGCGTGTATTGTTCCTATCTTTATCCATAGGAAATCATATCCCGAGGCAAATCTCGCATCCCGGCTTAAATACAAATTTTATTCATGTTTGAGACCTATGTTGTGGGGCTAATAACGATGTCGCTTACGCAAGCTTTTGGAAGAAAGGTATGAACAGCCAAGACAATGAGGGAACAAAGGCAGAGTTTTAACAAACAATAAACGTCGATTTTATTTATTCAACATGTACTGTGTATTGATGGAGAAATATGTTTGAATCAGTGAAGTATTGATGGAGAAATTTGTTTGAATCAGTGTCGGGTCCGGTATGACTGGTTTCCTTCATGGGAAGTTGAATCGGTTGTATCGGCGAAACGAGTGTATAGCTGATCGACGGCGGTCGCTGGTCGACTGCCGGATGGGAGAATTGTCGGCGACAGCAGCTGGTTGAATGATGACGAACGAAGATTCGTCGAGTCGGTTAGGACGAATCCCTAAACAGGGCCGAGTCAGAGTAGTGATAGGACTTCCAGGGTGGATCAACCACGTAGGCGGGATCGCACCGAAGTGTAGCACTTGACGAAGGCGGAGTCCCTAAATAGGGCCGAGTCGGTGTAGTGATACGACTATTGCGCAGAACCGTAGCACTTGACGAAGGCGAAGTCCCTAAACAGGGCCGAGTTAGTGTAGTGATACGACTTCCAGGGCGGATCAAGCACGTAGGCGGGATCGCGCCGAAGTGTAGCACATGACGAAGCTGGAGTCAGAGAGGTGATACGTCTGAAACGGGATCACACCGAAGAGTATTCTATCGACGAAGCACCGGAAGCTCACAAAGGTAGCGTACTAAAAAGGGGCTAACAATATGTGGAACGACTTGTTCAAGTACTCCCTGGCTAGAGGGAGTAGAAAACCGTATATATAAAATTACTCCCCATGTTGTTCGATATTTGGAAAGCGCTGCCTAATCCGATGCTCATGAGGTACCGTTTTGGAGTCAACCATATTGATCTACTTTCTCGCATGCTGCTGGAGATCAGGGGTTTTGAATGTCAAGGTCGTCAAGGCTAATGGCGGCCGCGACAAGGCCGTTTCCCTATAGAATTGTTCATATCAATTAATAATAATAATATTTATGAAGGTTCTTAGGGAAAGTGACCTTCCTACCGGATCTGGTTTGCTGCACAGAAGTCGCTGGGGTGTCGTCCGATGTCTGCGGTGCTGCGTGTGCCGGGTGAGCTGGAGTGGCGTCAGGGGCCCGCGGAGCCGGGTTTGCATTGTACTGTCGCTTCGCCAGAAAGGCAGGCTTGGTCCGATCATTTGCGACGGTGTCGGTCGTGTTCGCACGCTTGATCGTAAGGTGCTTGTCGGTGCGCCGAAGAACCTGAAAAGGACCTTGGTATGCCGGTGTGAGTGGTCGTCTCACGGCGTCGTTCCGTACGAAGACGAATTCGCAATCCCGCAAGTGTTGAGGAATGTACGAATCCGTCGGTTGCTGTCGCGTAGGTGCATATTTAATCCGAGCTATTTTGTGGCAGAGTTCCTCGACGAAAGGAGTTGTTGGTTTTGAAAGAGTCTCGTGGGAGTCGTTGAAATATTCACCGGGCAACTAGTTCGGCAGGTGAACAGCCTAAGTCCTCCTTTACGGTGTTCGTCAATGCTAGGAGAATCAAAGGTAGATCGTCCACCCAATTGGTAGTGTCAGGTCTAGTGGCCAGGGAGGTTTTAAGGGACCGATGAAACCTCTCGACTAAACCGTTAGCGCACGGGTGATAAGCGGTATTTTTTATGTGCTTGGCACCGTGTAGGTCAAGGTGAAGATCAAGGTCGTTTTTCTAAGGAGCGGCTAATGGCAGCCGCGACACCTAGACCGTGACAATATATACAAACAAACCTCCCGCCCCCACAACGGAGAAAATCTGCAAGCAAAATAAAAAAAAAATCTGCAAGAAAAAAACTTCCAAATCGTCAGCGAAGTATTTCGAAATTTGCGGCCTAGCGGAACGAGTCGTATCAATTCTCAAAAGTGACCGCTTGGTGGCGGTGGCAGGACTTTCAATTATAAACAAAAACGGGTGTACAGTAAATAAAGTACTATATTAACGCGTGCGTAAGAAAGTAGCTATGAGAAATCTGTTGTTTTTATTATTTTGATTAATATATTAATTGTTCTGCCCTCATCATGGCATCGAAACAGAAGGAAAATGTAAAAAGGAAGCAACAAACCTAAGCATCAGTGACAAATTAGGGTTTCATAGAGGCTGGAATTTCGGTCGCAAAAGTGAAGGAACTGAAAGAAGCGGTATACAAGTGGTACGTTCAACACAGGTTACCAAGTTCTTTCTGTGGAGCAAATAGCAGAATCAGTTCTGGCTGGTGATGATTCAGTTGAGAGCTCCAGTGATTCGGAGGAAGAGGTAGTGAAACCAAAAATGTCTCATGTACAAGATTCTATTAACACTCTCTTACAATTCGTTGATACAACAGATATTCAAGCTTATAATCAACAGCTCCGCACACTAAGCGAAATAATAATTCGTTAAGTACAAATGTGGAAAGCAATTAAAGCTGGGTTTATAGCTGTTGGAGAGACGGTTAAAGAATGGGTTTGGGTTTTAAACCCAAACCCACCCCAACCGTCATCTCCAACACCCTGACCCGAGCACACCAGAGACTTGCCACTGATGACCCTATTCAAAGGTAAGAGAAATTCGCCCTCTCTGACCTCATCCTCGCAGCTAGCCGCTTCAGTCGTCTCAAGCTGAGAAAAGTCAGCCAAATAGCTGCGAAAATCATCGCCAAAGAGACCAGGATCCTTGGTAAAACGGCCCTCGAAATGACGCCGAAACGCCTCGTACATGTCCTTGGTCGAGTACGCCTCGTGAATGTATCGATCGGAACATCGACGGATCTCATCCTTGCGCAATTCGGCGCCCATATTCACAGTTGCATTAGACATCTTGTTTAATTTATGTCTAATTACCTGACCCTGGTAGCGCTTGCTAGCCTCACACTTCAGAGCCTGCCTAGATAATGCTATTACTAGGGAATCCCGCCAAATCAGCTTCCGCCTGGGGCAGACAATCCTCTAGAGTCTTCACTTTTCACCGTTGGCTATATTCGGTAGTGAAAGATGTCCTTAAGACTCTCCAACCACTTATTACCAATAAGTGCCCCTACCAGTTCCCGCTGCACTAGTTAGCTGTTGCCGGAAATCCTGCTTGTCCAATAAAGACAGATCGAGCTTCCAGTGTCCAGTCAATCTAGGCTTAGTACCTAACACCATCCGGGCATAAACGTATCTATATTCCGAATAGTCTAAACGGTGGAACGTGGGGCAATCAACCCGGTATCTATCGACGAGCCCAAACTCACCGATAAGATCAACCAGGCTACGATCGTTCGATGACTTCCCGCTGCCTCTCCGCACCATGTCTATCTTTGGGTGAAGGATGGCATTCCAACTCCCATTAAGACTAAGCGCAACCCAGGAACGACCCGAACCGACGGATAAATGCGACACGCTCCGTTTGATCGTGGGGCGTATAAAGCGAAACGGACTATTGTTCACAGCAATATCGGCCACAATCCCCCCACTTCCCGAGTCAACATCGACAAGATTCACCTTCGCTCCCAGGGAACGTTTCACTAACAAGGAAACACCTATGGCCAGCTGGTCCCCGTGTGCCGAATAGACAACAAAGTCGCTAGACAACACACGAGCATCAACATCGCAAAGTGTGTCTCCTGGATCGCAGCCACATCCACACCTAAGGGCAAGAGATAACGAAGCAGGCGGTCAGCCTTACTCCGATCTTTCAGGCCACTCGCATTCAAGCTGACTAGCTTGATAGACATAGTTTACGTAGACTTAAACCCAGACTGGGTGGAAATCTGCGGAGGTAGTCTCCAGTGCCTATGATACACGTAATTCGTCCTTCTGTGACAATGCTGCCAACGAGTATTGAGTATTTCTTTTGTATGTCCGTTAGTTTTTTAGTGGAAGACCATGGAAATCTGAGAGTCATCTAGTATCTGATGTAGTGCTACTCCTGTTACATAGCTAGAACTATCAGTTACTAGATGATATTAAGTGGTATTGTGGTTGAGGTGTGTTAATGCACTAATTTCTGCTAGAATGTTTTGAAATGATTCTCTTTGTGTGGAATTCATCTGTAGTGATTTTGCAGTTTTGTTGTATCTGATGAGTTCTATTAGGAGTAGTAATATTTCAGTTGCTTTTGTAATTAGTTTTCTGTAGAAATTAACCAATCCAAGAAATCTGCATAGGGATTTAGAGTCATATGGTTCTAGGAAGTCTTGAATCTGTTTAATCTTTTGCTTAGTCTTTCGAGATGATATTGAAGAACTCACATTTATCCTAAGGTATTTGTAAGTTGTTCTCTTCAAGAATTGATAGAACTCTTTGCAGATGTTCATGATGCTGGGTCTGTATTTCTAAGGAGACTTTTAGCATCCCGCTACCACCTTTTTTTTTATCAATATCAATTTTTGTACAAAAAGTGGATCACAGAGCTTATTCAGCTTAATAAATATTTTCAGAAAACCTCAACTTCTAATTGGTCACTTAATATTTAAATCATGCCCTAATATTAATGTCGATTTCTGTGCAAAAAGTGGATCACGGAGTTTATTCAGCTTAATATATATTTTCAGAAAATCTCAACTTCTAATTGGTCACTTAATATTTAAGTCGTGTTCGAATAACATCGACCTAATTCTTGACGTGACCGAAAAATAATTCCACCAAAATCTGTCAAGCCTCTGTGAGCCTAACACGCGACCAATATTAGCAATAAATATGAAACTTCTTTCATCTTCGTCAGTGGCCGATCAGAATCCTTTGAACTCGTCATACAGTTCCAGGCTTTACGTTAAAGTTCCTCAACATGATTTCAGCCTGAATGAATACTCACTCACACAGTAATATTTTATCACGAACAATCAACTCAGGTTTTCAACATTCAACTTGATACAAGAATCTTTGTCATACGCTTTCAAGCCCAACGTTAATTATTGCAATTAACGAACACAGCTTAAGAATCACTCCAACTACAGAATATTCTATTCGAACAAGTGAAAACAAATCAAAGAGCGACAACTTTGTAAACCTTAAAGTAAGTCGTGAGCAATATTTCTCTACTTTAAGTACAAACTTGAACTGTTTATTTTTCCTTAAATTACAATAATACCCAAACACATTTTATCACTATTGTACAGACCGTTCAACAACTTATAATGTATCAAACCAGAACTCTAATAACATTTCAATCTAAACATAAAAGGACGTTTGAACTTTTTGAACTACCTCTTTACTCCAATTGTTTGTACCTCTTGATTATATAAATATTTTATTCCTTGTTGTGCAAAAACTGTTGTTTCACATGTTTGTTGTTATTTTATGTTTGTTGAATACTGAAATTTTATGTGAGAGAAAATTGTTAATTTCATCACGCAGTTCAACAGTTATCAAATCATATAATTTAATCAATTAACACAACCTCCACAATTGGTAACCCCGACGTTTCAAAAGGAAAAAAAAAAATAAAAGTCCACCACGACATCCGCGAGTTGGCATTGTAACAATATAAGAAAATTACGTTACTTAGCATCCCGGATTGAAAATTGCAGCCATCCAAGATCCAACTCAACTGTTATTCGGATCTCATTTAAGCGCGAAAAACTTAATCACTGGAAGATCACGTGCTAGCAACGCTTCGAAGGAAATCACACATCAGTAATGGCGGAACAAAATACCTTCACAGAAGCTACTGTCACGTTAAATTTGTCGGTATTTAATAGCAACGTGCAAGTTTGGTTCGCACATTTGAATGCAATATTTAATGCGAAACGCATTACTTTTCAATCATCACGTTATACCTACATTGTCGAGAAATTACCAACATAAATTGCAGTGGAAGTCTCAGATCTTTTAAACGAAATGCCATCAGATAAACCGTATGACACGCTCAAAGAGGCAATTTTGCGTCGAACAGGACATTCTGATGAAAGAAAAATTCGCGACCTCTTCAATAATATCACTCAAACAAACCTTCATAACTGTTACGAAGAATGCGTAACTTACTAGGGAATAATGCTATGTCGGATAATGTCTTGCAACATGGCTAGACAAACTCAATAGAAATATTGTGCAAATCATCGCTTCCCTCCCTGGAGATATAGCTCTACAGAAGCTGACTGAAATAGCCGACAAAATCGCGGACAACGAACCAGCTACTTCTGTATATACTACTACCCAACAAGACCCTGTAATACCTTATACTGATAATGATTAAATTCAAATACTCGCTAAAAAGATGGAATAACTTTCATTTCAAATACGAGAAATCCAAAGAACGGCGCGGCATCGTACACGCAATTTTAATGACCAACCAGTTAATTCAGGCCGCTGGCGCAAACATAGGTCAACGTCGACAACGAGTATACAAAGACTCTATTTGTTGGTGCCATGAAAAAGTTGGAAACCAGGCCCGCAAATGTGGAGAGCCATGCAAATTTCGCAAAAATTTTGTACCAAGCAGGAGAACATACGGGAAACGATTTTCCCGGCAGCAAGTAAAAACGACGTTTGCCACTGGGAAAAGTCAAGAAAATCGCCTATTCTATGTTAAAGACACATGTTGAAGTTTTGGTTAGTTAAGATATTCCGGCTCGCGTATGGGTAAGGGGCACGGAATAATGAGTCGACCTTCTAGTTTGAAAATCAGGCAGCGACTAACTTGAAAAACGCCGTTTGTCAGTGACGTCAGAGAATGCGCGGGAAAATTTCAAATCCTGTTCTAGCTGGAACCAGCAGCAGCTAGCCAAAACCTCCTCACGTCGGCTGTTTACTGCTATATCTAACCGAACGTGAAAGGAAGGGGTGCAATCCGCGTACGCACGTAAAAATAGGTGGAATCCATGCACGATTTCACAAGTCTCTCTTTGACTATAAAAGTTTATCAATGTTCTCTGAAAAGGAAATGAAAGAGTTATTAGTCTGTTATAAATGTTTTAGACAGTTTTGCCGTGCAAGAGGAAAATTATGTAAGTCTGATAGAATATTTAATTTGAGAGTGAGTGGGCGCATGTCTTCGATTGACGTGGATTCCAGTCGCAGTCGAAGTCCTCTTTTGTTCTGTTTATATAGGTAATCATCGAATTAGGAATCTGCGTGGGAAAAATCATTCTCCACCCGCAGAGTATCTGATTGGTTGATACTGACCAATCAGTGCCTGAGTTTTGGGGAGACTTCTGGGAGCCAATTCTCCCAAAAGTGCACAAAAGTTTCTATACGAAAATATAGCGATTTTAAAATTGTCGCTTCAGATAGCAGCGTTGCTTTCTGTCCAATGAATGAATGCTGTTAAAGATTTGAATTTGTAAGGGTGTATGTGTGTGATGATGATCGTTATATACCTTTGTTATCTTTAACAAAGGTCTATATTTGCATCAATCCCTCAATAGGCCTTATAAGTCAAATAACTTTTCTCAAGCTATATTTAAAACAAACTTAGTCATAAACAAACTCAAGTTATATTTAAAACAAATTTATAACTTTTCTCAAGTTATATTTAAACAAACTTTAGCTTCGGAATTCTACCGGAGCTAATAAAAAATCT